AAAATGTCAAAGTTGTAAGATCTGACTGAGGTGGTGAGTACTATGGGAAATATGACGAGTCTGGTCAAAATATGTGTGATTTTGCAAATTTTTTACAAGAGTGTGGAATAGTGCCCCAATACACCATGTCAGGGACACCTGAGCAGAATGGTGTTTCTGAAAGACGTAATCGAACTTTAAAAGATATGGTTAGAAGTATGATGAGTAGAACAAATTTGCCTGAATATTTTTGGGGTGAAGCCTTGAAAATTGCCATGTATATTTTGAACAGAGTTTCAAGTAAAGCTGTTGGAAAGACACCGTTTGAATTATGGACAGGATGTAAGCCAAGTATGACTCACTTTAAAATTTGGGGATGTCCAGCTGAGGTTAGAATTTATAATCCATTTGAAAAGAAATTAGACCCTAAATCAACTTCTGGCTACTTTATTGGGTATCCGGATAGATCAAAGGGATATAAGTTTTACTGTCCAAATCGCGGCACTAGAATTGTGGAGTCCATTACTGCTAAGTTTCTGGAGAACGATTTTGGAGACAGTGGGAGTTCCACGTTGAGAGAAATTCATGTTGAACCTAATCAAGTTGTAGTTCCAGTTCCTGTCCTACAGGAAAGAGTTGGTTCCCAACCAATTGAAGTTGTTAATGAAGAATCGAGGAACCAGGAAGAATCTCCAATTCCTCAAACAACGATTGAATTGGTTCTTGACCCACAAGTTAGGAGATCACAAAGGGAAAGAAGATCTGTATTGCCCAGTGATTATGTTACATATTTATTGGAGAGCGATTTTAATATCGGGCATATTGTTGATCCTGTAACTTATAATCAAGCATTGACAAGTCCTGAGGCAGATAAATGGGTAGCTGCCATGGAAGATGAAATGAATTTCATGGAAAGGAATAAAGTTTGGGATCTTGTTGAACCTCCTCCAGATGCTAAGGCTGTAGATAACAAGTGGATTTTCAAAAGGAAATTAGATTCAAAAGGAAATGTTTAACGAAAGAAAGCAAAATTGGTTGCAAAAGGTTTCACTCAACGAGAAGGCATTGATTATGTTGAAACATTCTCCCCTGTTTCGTCGAAAGATTCTTTTCGAATTATCATGGCTCTTGTGGCACACTACAATTTGGAGCTTCATCAAATGGATGTTAAGACAAAATTTTTGAATGGAGATCTTTCTGAAATGGTTTATATGAAACAACCTGAAGGTTTTGTTGTAAAAGGAAAAGAAAACCTGGTGTGTAAGTTAAACAAATCCTTATATGGTCTCAAGCAAGCATCTTGACAGTGGTATTTGAAGTTTGATGAGGTTGTGACATCTCTTAATTTTGTCGAAAATACTATTGATCAATGCATTTATCTTAAAACCAGTAGGAGAAATTTTATTTTCCTTGTACTGTATATTGATGACATTCTGCTTGCTAGCAGTAACTTAGGACTGCTTCATGAGACAAAGAAAATGTTGTCTGCTAATTTTGAGATGAAAGATCTTGGAGAAACTTCCTATGTACTTGGCATTGAAATACATCGTGATAGAAATCGTGGTTTATTGGGACTTTCTCAGAAAGCTTATATACGACGTGTTCTAGAAATGTTTAATATGCAGAATTGTGCACCTGGTGATGTACCTATCATAAAAGGAGATAAGTTTAACAAAACTTAATGTCCAAGGAATGAGCTGGAAAGGGAGTCTATGAAGATGATCCCATATGCTAGTGCTGTGGGAAGCTTGATGTATGCTCAAGTTTGCACTAGACCGGATATAACCTACTCAATAAGTATCCTTAGCAGATTTCAGTCTAACCCAGGACAAAAGCATTGGAAAGCAGCTAAGAAAGTTATGAGATATTTGAAGAAAACTGAAAGTTATATGCTTACATTCCAGCGTACAAATCATCTTGAGGTGGTAGGATATTCAGATTCTGATTTTGTTGGATGTCAAGATGATTTGAAATCAACCTCGGATTATATTTTTACATTAGCAGGTGGTGTCATTTCTTGGAAGAGTGTTAAACAGACTTTAGTGGCGTCTTCTACTATGCAAGTTGAATTTATGGCATGATATGGGCCTACAGTTCAAGCCGTTTGGTTAAGAAATTTCATCTCTGGCTTGAAATTTGTTGATTCCATCTTAAGACCGATCACCATCTACTGTGATAACAGTGCAGCAGTATTCTTTTCAAAGAATAATAAAAGTTCCGGTGGATCAAAATATATTGACATCAAATATTTGGTTGTTAGAGACAGAGTCAAAGAAGGGCAGACGAAAATAGAGCATATCAATACAGAGGCGGTGGTTGCAGATCCCTTGACTAAGGGACTCGCTCCAAAAGTCTTTAAGACACATGTCACTAATATGGGTATTGTGGAAACATTTGATATTTTTGGTTAGTGGGAGTTATTTATGTAAAGAACTACATTTTGGGCTTGATCCCTTGCAGGGTACGTAGGTAACCCATATGTTTTCGGGTACAGCTCCTTCTGATAATAAAATAACTTTTCCCCTATCCATGAACTATTTTTAAGCATGCATTTGACTTATGTCTTTTTATATTATTGTCTTCTTGAAACATGACGTATAAAGACATAAGATGAGTCTCTTTTAGAGACACGTAGCTTCATTTTGATTCGAAGCATTATGAGGACCGATATGAGTTAGCACAGTTTTTTTATCATATTTGGTGCTAAGTTCATACCACATACTACCACATTGGTTGGAGGATGGAGATCCATGTCGATAAGGATGTTGACATTTGTAGCTGTGGAATGGTTTTACATCGCTTAGTTGGTGTAATGATTTCCATGTTCGGTGTTAATATTCTTGTTGGACCGGATCATGTTACGTAAGGTGTCATCATTGGAGCTATACTTTTGTGGCCACCTATGTAGTCTTACCCGGGTGTTAAAACTTTGTTATGGCAATCAAATGTTTGCCCAAGTGGGAGAATGTTGGAATAATTAATAATTCCATATATAGGCTTCACATTCAATTGCAAAATTTTACGGGTTAGATATATGGCTCATAATAATATTTGTGTTTGGGCCAAATTTATTAAGTGATCAATTGAGCCTTTTGCACCTTACGTGTTGTAATTAATTTGATGTGGTAATTTAAAGTGTGTGGGCCGAAAATAAACCCTAATTAGAATTCTAGTCGTAATGGAACGATTCAAATTATTTTCTATATATAAAGGCTAGGTTCCCTCTCCTCTCCATATGTTTTAGCTTGCCCCATTGATAGCTAATACTTTTGTGAGGAGTAAGGAGGGAAAGATTTTGGCTACTATTACAATTATAATTCATATCAACACTAGTTTCCGCAGGTATGAATTCGTTTCTATTAATTTATTGGATCATAATTATTGATTCTTAACATGATTAAAACTAAAAATTAACATATTATACTAAAAATGGTAGAAAATATTACTTTATTATTTTGTTGGTAAAATTTGCACATATTGAGCTCAAATACTTCCAATTCAGGGAATTAGCATAATCAACTTATGTAACAAAATAAAAGGTGCCATATTTGTAGGTAAACTTCCTTTTTTATATTGCTTAAATTGGACTTTGTATTGTAAACGGCGGAATAAAAATATTACATCCTTGAGCAGATATTGAAATTGTATCAACTTCAGATCTTGACGCGTTTCTTTCGTTTACTTTTGGTATATTGCACTCTGTACAGTATTACGTTAATGAAAATACAAAATTGGACAATAATTAAAATATTATTGGAAAACTACCTAAGCTGTACTCTGAGCCCCTTTTTTCGTAAAAAATAAAATAAAAAATAAAAAGCAATCTTGAATAGCATTTGGACGTCATTTCAATCACACATTTGCCTTTAATATTCTATTCAAAAATGCTCTTTTTTTGGGACAAAAATGAGGATCAAACAAGAATTAATTGTTCCAATGATCACTGAGTTTAGGTTCATATCTTTGATTCACATTGGGAGCGTAGAAAATTGTAACCATATACATATTAAATGACAACAATTGAATGCCAATCCTTGAGCTTTAGGCCCCGTTTGGTAGGGATTTTCTGTCCGAAAAAATTGATTTTTTGACCGTTATTTTACTATTCAAGCCGTAATTTTTGACTTCTTCTCTCATATGTGAACCCCACTTTTCTTCTAACGGTCAAAAAATCAATTCTCAAAATCCCTACCAAACGGGCCCTTATTTGTAAAGTCTCTATTCCTTGATAATCAAAGCCCAAAGATCTATGAATTAGCCCATGCTTGACTAGCCAAGTAGACAAACGACCCTGCATCTTTTTTATCTCCCGCATTTTTAGCTAGAATATTTCACATTCTCGATCAAATTTATGAAGATTCACCAACTACTTGTTATTTTGCACAATACAAAGGAATCATGTCTAATTCACTAATTCGTGGTCATTGAACTTTGATTCATGTCTTCCATTCTCACTAAAGTTCAATATATTGAATCTTAGCCACTGAATTTTGAAAAATGATGTATATTCTTCGCTGAATTTTAAAAATGCTGTACATTATTCGCTATAAACTTCATATTTTTCAAATTTCAGCAGTTATGCTAGTGAGTAACGTACGATATATTTCAAAGTTTAGTGACTGAAACTCGACATTTTAAATTTTAATAAACAATCTAATACATTGACATAAGTTCAATGAGCAATCGAATACACGGACCTAAGTTTAGTGATCAAAACTCGATATTTTAAATTTCAGCAATCAATTAAAGACATGAATCGAAGTTCAATGACCACTGGAACAATTAACTCCTCAAACAAAGGCTAAAGTAATAAATTAGAAGAAAGGTCATAAATGTCATTTCACGATGGGATAACAGCTAGATTTCTTTCTGGCCTCGTTCGAATGGGACGACTGCAATAATCACACACAGGCCACGCCCTATTTTTAAATTCAAAATCGAGCACCGGTAATTTCTGTTCACTTAAAAATAAAAATAAAAATAAATAAGAAAATTCCAACCTCATCACTCAAGAGTGTCTATAAATAGACAAATCTCTCATTAATGCGTCATTTGATTTCTCCATTTCCACCTTTAACGTTTCAAACGGGGCGGCCTCTCATAGAAAGTAGGTAGAGGGTGAGAGTCGCGAAATTTTGAATTTGATAAGTTCTCTCCTGCTCAAGGTAAATTATTTTTGTGGTCGTAATTAATTAATAGATCTTCTGTGTTTATTTTTATTAATTTTTTTTTCTTTAGAAAGAGTTTCTTGTTATTTTGATTTATACTAGAGTGAGATCGGAAATTCGCAGCGTTATAGATCCACTTTTTAACGTTTTTTGTGCTATAGATTTATTGAAGGTTTAGATTTGTTAACTCCTGATGTAGTTCGATTTGTTAATCACAATTCCATAGTAATTTGCTCGATCTATGCTGCGTTTTTACAGATCTGCTATTTCTCGTTATCACCTATCTATTTTGTTTGAATATAGATTGTCTGTATGTGTTTTTGCATATCTAAGGTGTAAGGTCACAGCGGTGACAATTAATCCGTTATACGAGCACGTGTTGATTGCGCCGATTCTTTGTGGAATTTATAAATGCTTGATTTTTTTTAAGGACAGCATCTTAAGCCCCTCCCGCCGTTTAGTAGCAATTTTTCATATCAAAAAATAAATTTTTTTTTTTACCATTATTTCTTTATTACAACCGTAAATTATGAAATTTTCATAATCACAGCCGAATAAAACCTAAATTAATACTGTTTCCCCATGAAGTTTGCGGCTGTCAATCCTGTTTTGTCGTTTACAGTTTAAGGAAAGATTGAAATGTTGTTCCTAGGGAATTGTGACCGATTTAAAGTGTCAAAGGTTTCAAATTTGAAATGAACATTTATAACATGGCATGCTTCGGTAATTATTTATTAAAATACAATGACATTGCTCAGACGTGTCTGTTGCATCATGTATGCATGTTTGTGCCACGACCTTGCAACAATCGACTGCAGCTTTGTGAGGATAGTATGCAATTCAATCACATTTCTCAAGCTATTGTTATATATTTCTTGGGAATTTGGAACTTCTTTCCAATGAAGCTGAATAAGTGCTGTATGGCAATATGTTATTTGTTTCTTATTAGATTATCTACGGATTTATATGATTCTTCTTTAATTAAGGTCCGACTATGTACTGATGTGATGTTGGTTTTTTCAGTTGATAGAAAATGGCCGATGCAGAGGATATTCAGCCACTCGTCTGCGACAATGGAACCGGAATGGTGAAGGTTAGTTGAAGTCAAATTCTCCCTAAGCCTTTTTCTCTCTATATTATTATTGATTAAATAAAGTTGTACTTTTTTATATACAGGCAGGATTTGCTGGTGATGATGCTCCCAGAGCTGTTTTTCCTAGTATTGTGGGTAGGCCCCGGCACACTGGTGTGATGGTCGGGATGGGACAGAAAGATGCTTATGTGGGTGATGAAGCTCAATCTAAGAGAGGTATCTTGACCTTGAAATATCCCATTGAGCACGGTATAGTTAGCAACTGGGATGACATGGAAAAAATTTGGCATCACACTTTCTACAACGAGCTGCGTGTTGCTCCTGAGGAGCACCCTGTGCTTCTCACCGAGGCACCACTCAACCCCAAGGCCAACAGAGAGAAGATGACCCAAATCATGTTTGAGACCTTCAATGTTCCTGCAATGTATGTTGCTATTCAGGCTGTTCTCTCTCTCTATGCTAGTGGCCGTACAACTGGTGTGTATCAATTCTTACAATCTGAATTTTGTTCCTCAAATATGTTTATATACTTTTATCAATTCTTTCAATCTGAATTTTTGTTCCTCAAATATGTTTATATAGTTTTATATGATGCCTATCAATTTGTATTGTTGGACAGGTATTGTGCTGGATTCGGGTGATGGTGTAAGCCACACTGTGCCCATTTATGAGGGGTATGCTCTTCCCCATGCCATCCTTCGTCTGGACCTTGCTGGTCGGGATCTTACAGACTATCTCATGAAGATCCTCACTGAAAGAGGTTACATGTTTACCACCTCAGCCGAAAGGGAAATTGTCCGTGACGTGAAGGAGAAGCTTGCTTATGTCGCTCTTGACTATGAGCAGGATCTTGAGACTGCCAAGAGCAGCTCATCTGTCGAGAAGAACTATGAATTGCCTGATGGACAGGTTATTACTATTGGGGCCGAGAGATTCCGTTGCCCAGAAGTCCTCTTCCAACCTTCTTTGATTGGTATGGAATCGGCTGGAATCCATGAGACTACCTACAACTCAATAATGAAGTGTGATGTTGATATCAGAAAGGATCTCTATGGTAACATTGTACTCAGCGGTGGTTCAACTATGTTTCCTGGTATTGCTGACCGTATGAGCAAAGAAATCACTGCCTTGGCTCCCAGCAGCATGAAGATCAAGGTCGTTGCCCCACCAGAGAGAAAATACAGTGTCTGGATTGGAGGATCAATTCTCGCATCTCTCAGCACTTTCCAACAGGTAAAATATTGTTTTCTGACTGTCAATTTAGTTAAATCAATTGTAGTAAACTCACTCTAGAAATAATATGAGTCATAATTGACATGCTTTCTTTGTGATGATACAGATGTGGATTTCAAAGGGTGAATATGATGAGTCTGGTCCATCTATTGTCCACAGGAAGTGCTTCTAATCTGCCTTCAGGGAAACTTCACCTTTTTACCTCTTAAATTGGCTTTTCATGTAATGTTTCAAGCAAATTTGGTCAAGAAATTTTGAAGTTGGGTTGCAGAAAGATTGTATAATTTGATTCAGATATATGTTTATGTTTCAACTCATGGGCTCATGCTCTTGTTAATCTATAATTGACAAGAATGAAACGACCTTTCCTTGTTGCGTTGTGGTTTAGATGTGTCACATTAATAGGTCATATATTTGTAGTTTGAGAGTGATTGTAATGTTTCCTGCTTAACCTTTTCCTTTCCTTTCCCGTATATTTCATATTTTCGAAGTCCTTCCTGGGAACAGTATTGTTAATATTTGTTTTATGAGAGTTTGCATCCCTACATCAAATAGTGGCTTGGAATTTCGTAGTTTAAATGATCACACACTTTTTACTTCTTGAAAAATTGTTAGAATTACATAACAATTCTCTCAAGTACTACAGATTTTTTCGAGTAAACTCAATAACTTATGTACTAAAAAAAATTCCTTAGTATATATCGAATGAGATTAAGCCCCTATTTGGTACACATTTTTTTTAAAATGTATTTTTTTCTTTTTTTTTTTCAACTATACATTCTTTATTAAAATAATATTACATGTAAATCAAAAAAATTTCCTTATTTTTCAACCACACACTTCCCATTAAGTTATTAGTCTAAAATATATTTTTATATAAAAATGTCTATCAAACACCTCCTAAAAAAGGATACTCAAGTCTTTAACGATGGCTCATAGAGTAAAAAAAATTCATTTGTTCATTATATTTTTGAATAAGCAAAACAAATAATACTGTAAAAATGCGATTAAATATTTGACCCTCATTATAAAGCACGTTAACAATATTTTTGAATGAAAGCTATGATTAAGAATAGGATTTTCCGATTCATATATATATATATATATAAAGGTCGATTATATTTAATATAATTAAAATGTGATCCATTTATAAAAAATAAAATAAAAAATGGTATGAACATGACAACCCTTTAAATTAAAGTGGAAAATGTGATGCCAATCTTAAAGTTGAATCTTCAGTGGAGTGGGCGCACCAATGTCAAGGAGTCACTTTGGCGGATTTTCAGTGGGGCGGGTGCACCACGTGGATGGTGTGCCTGTCCAATATCGAGAAAATTCTCTCCAACGTGGTGCGCCTGCCCAATACCAAGGTGTGGCGCACCTTGATAGTGATGCGACCGCCCTACTGAAAATTCTCTACAATCTTAATTGTTTTTGTCTAAACTCTAAACAAATGCTATTACACCAAAAACCGTGGCACACTTTTACATATGACTAGTCATAGTCGATAATTGATTGTTGATTAAATACGACAATCCCAAAAAAAAATAAAAATTGGCTGTCCTATATCTTCCTTGCTCAATTATGATTGGTTAAAGTTCCACGAGCTAAATATATCTAAAAAATAAGAATAATGCTATTTGCAGTCGCTCACTGTGACAGTCGCCCTACGTGGCATACACAGAACAGGTGATTATTTGATACATTAATGAATAAAAAAACTACTATATTAATGTATCAAATAATCACTTGCCATGTGTATACCACGTATGGCGATTACCGCAGTGAACGACTACGAATAGCATTACTCAAAAAATAATAGAGCTACATGCTTCAAAAAAAGGTTTTATCACTCTTCTTTTGTACATATTTGATTTAAAAATCTGATGGACAGCTTTCATGTAGCAATGTTCATTCACAAGCTATCCTTTAAAAAAAAAAAAAAAAAAGATTGAACCCCAATCTTGAGAGCCCCCACCATCCCGTTCCTAGAGCTTTGTGAGGGAGGTAAATCGCGGGATGTGTCCCAACAGATCAGGAAACAAGAGTTGATTGTACACTGCGCCTACAAGGAGTCTAATTCTATGTTTCAGGAATCGAACATCCACACTATGACTGTCAGCAAGGCGTGAAATAACCTCACTCCTACCCTTTACACCATTGGGCTATGCCCCGAGGGGCATTCACGAGCTATCCTTATGCACACAAGACGTGGCTATAGAGTGTGTGGTAAATTCGAGTTTTGGATTTAGGGATATTGAAAATCTTACTCGTCTAATCTTAGGTAGGTAATGTTGTACAACGAAAAGTTGAATTTCTTTATGATTTAGGGTTAGGATTGATTGTAAATCATTTACTACTACTTTTTTTCTTCAATTTTTTTTTTTTTTTCATTGATAGATCTTAGATGCGACGATAGATTAACTAGATTCTTAGCAAAGAAACATTTTTTACATTTTAAGTAATTTAGAAATATAACTTTGATGTTTTTCGTTTGGTTAAAGAAGAAGAAATGTAAAACGGAAGAAAAGGAAAGAAAATTGGAGGGTTCGATGGAGAAATTTAGAGCGAGTCAAGAGAGCATCTTTTCTTTATTTTTATTATTATTATTTTTTCAACGCGGTTGCTTGAAGTGCCCAATAATAGTGACACTTACCTGTTTCAAAACAAATTCTTGAATATAATTATGGTATTCCTAAGAAAAATGCAAAAGTAAAATCGTATGACCGAATTCGATTTGACAGTGTGGGGTCTACAAAGGTTTCATTTCCTCACTGAAAGAAGATCAGAATTTGCGAATTATTCAAAAAGTCATATTGGAAGTTTGCTTAAAGACTGGAGATAGAAGAGTGCGACTTTGCTTTTGATTCAAGTTGAGAAAAACACAATGCCGTATTTACGTTCTTCTCGCCTTTAAGGCACTATCAAAATCAACAAATTGATGCGCTACCATGGCAAGATAATGAATTAACAAATTAATTAAAGATTGATACATATAAATAAATAGAATCCGAAAGATTTTAAAATTCGGAAAGGAAAATTTATGATCTTCATCATTTATTTTAGCGTTCCTCGAATCATTAATATAACACCTCTCAATTTAATTGATTAACTAATTTACTAACCCTAAGGGGTAATTCAGTGATCAGGTTTTGAATTTACTTCCCAATGGTTACTAGTTCGAGTCCCCTCAGAACCACTGAGGTAAGTATCCGACTGTAATTTCAGGACCCCGTGAAATTAGTCGAAATGCGCGTAAACTGGCCCGAATACTCACGATCATAAAAAAATGATTAACTAATTTACTAGTATTTATGGGTTCAAAGGAGTGCTAAAATGGGTGAGTCGAGCTAAACTAACCCGCCTAACCAGACTCGGTCCAACTTGCCATTCTCATTTTTTTCTTTTTTGGTGTTTAATGCAATTCAAGCTAAGTCTTAGTTAAAAAATGAATATTGTGTGAGAATTGCAAGGTTGTGTGAAAAAAAATATAAAAGATAAATAAGTAGTTTAACAAAAAATAAAAGTCGTACTAGGAGATCAAGGCTTAGCTCAAGTTATAAGAGCGAAGACTTACTAGGTCAATGACTTGAATTCGAGTCTCATTTAAAAGGAATGGTTAAATTTATTTATTTTTTTAAAAAGGACACACCTCGACATCTCTGCTTCAGGTACTGGAAGATCTTGTTCGCGCTTAATTTCAGTCACCAAGCTCGGAGATCTATAGGTACGATTTTTGGTAGAAAGAAAGAGTAGTTGAGTTGGAGATGACGTTAACAATAAATAATCAAATATCCATTTATTTTTTATAAGACTATCAAATACTTAACAATCAAGACTCGTTGAATCGCGAATGAATGCCAGAATTGATTCTTATCAGTAAAGTCCTTAATAACAAAGAATATCGAATAACTGGTGAAAATTGAGAGAAATCTCAATTTAATTTTTATTAAATAAGTCAAAAGCCGACACTGACCTTGGTTTTTAAAGGGAGATTTTTCCTTTTGACCTATCACTATTCCTTTTTGTTGAAAGGTTTATATTACCCTTAGCGAAAAGATTCTTTCTATATTGCAACATATATCCTAATTTTTTAAACATTTTATCATGTATTTATTCTATTTTGAATATTTGAATATAATTTCATTTTATGATCTAATAAATTGGAATAATCTGCAACATATTGTTCACATTTATTATTTAATATATTATATTCTTCAGAAGATGCATCCATACTTTCAAATTGAGAATACATATTTTTTTATTACTTCTAACATTCTTTCTAATAAATTATCAAATCTTTTAATTGTATACCCTGACATTTATTCAGATGATCATCAAATCTTGTAATTAATCCATACGATTCTTTAAAAACTTAAAAAGATTCGTTCTAATTTTAGCAAAAGTTTAATAATTTTACCTTCAGTTTGATCTGGACTTGTATTCTTAGAACCGAGTGACCTTCGAGCTCTGAATCTGTAAACTACTTCCTTCAACAGCCTCCTGGCCTCATGGAATTGTTACTGTTTCCACTACTTGCTCTCACTATGTCAACTTCTAAAGAATAAAATCCTAGGCTTCTGTTAAAAAAAAACTTTCTTTTTGCTAAAATAAGAAGGAAACTTTTTATCAGATCTATTAAGAATCTATGAGAATAAAGATTTAGAAACTCATATTCATATCAAGAATATTGGAGTTTTATTTCTATCAGAATTTATACAAGACTTTTATTTGATATAAAGAGATTTCCAGAAAAACTGGTTTCTCATACTGAGAATGGATTTTTAGTAGCTATTACTTACAACTTGAGATTTCAAGATAAGATGAGATGATATTCTTCTATGGTAATGTCTCTATTTATACAAGTTTATGAGACTCTATTACATCATTGATTACATCAGCAAGGCACACTTGCCTTTCTATTTTCCTCCTTGGGCCTAACATGTTGCTTCGACTTTTTATCCAAAGAGCATTTTTTTCTATTATTGCTCTTATCTTCAATATCTTCACATGCAACTGTACTCCTTTGTCAAAGGTGCTCTATAATTGTCCTCTTCATTTCTTCACATGCAGATGGGGTACTCTTTTAGCTGGCAAGATTCTTTATAGTGGTAGGACATCCTGGAAATTGATGTATATCAAATCTTATAATATAGTCTTTTAAAATTTCTGATTTTGCATATCCTCCATTGGATACCAGCATCCAATTTTCATATTGATACAAACATGAGAATTTTTTATCAAACAAATTTTTGGCAATATTGTAAATGACTTTAATTCTAAATGCTCTTCTATGTCTGATCCATGATTTTGTCACTGTTGGGACTTTCCTATTATTCTCTGTAACATCAATTTGGAAATTAGCTGCAACATACCCAATTGAGATTATATGTTCAACTGGATAGTAATCAACCCCATCATATTCTGGACTTAATTAATAGAATTTCAAAAATATTTTTCTTCCTCTGGCAAATTTGGATACTTCTTTAATGAATATGTCATCAAATTTCGAAATTTCAATAAAGTCTTTTCCTGGATATATTGAATCCATG